CTTCACTCATATAAATTAAAGAAGGTGAATGATTTTAACTCTCTTTACACATACATTACTGAACAGTTTATGTAACCCCGGGCTTTTATTATCCGTATAATTAACTGAAAAGTAGAGACAGACGAACATACAGGTTGGTTGTTTCCTACAAGGAATACTCCCCTCGGTAGCTCAGCGGCAAGCCTGAAGGCTTATAGTACTTATAACTGGCTTCGATACCCGCTGTGGGCAGAGCACAGACAGCCCATTTTGTAGCTTTATGCTTAAAAACAAACAAAAATTCGAAAACAACATGCATCCTCTGTTGCACTTATTATCACAACACGACTTTAAATCGTTGACAGTGTGAACAGCTACATTCTCGTCGCCATCTGTATTCTGTAGCCTAAGTTAATCACTCAATATTCACATGGAACAGCACACTTTATTTTATGCTTGCAGCCATAATGTATACGTATATCTCGTTAATTTTAGACTAACCACAATGTTGTATATCTAGACACCATGCTAGCATCCATGGTGTATATGTATACGTATATATCTCGTTAATTTTAGACTAACCATAATGTTGTATATCTAGACACCATGCTAGCACCCATAATGTATATGTATATCTTACGTATATCTCGTTAATTTTAGACTAACCATAATGTTGTATATCTAGACACCATGCTTGTACCCGATCTTTTAACAGTATCTAATAACACATTTATTTACACTTGTGCTTGTAGTCATTTATATTAGATTTACTAACGTATAATTTGATTGTTTATTGTCCAGTTTTAATTTCGCTTATTGTTTTTGAGTCTTTTTGTGTGTGTGTGATTTGCTGAAAATGGAATTTGCCTATCTCGAAACGGTCAGTACAAATAAACCGGTAATTAAAGACAATGTTCGTCATATCCGGTTACAAATATATATATATATACGTAATAAACTTACGAGTGTAAACGTCATTTTAACCAGTAAACAAACAAAAGACTCAAATAAGACGAGGTTAGGTAACCTTTAGTCCACGTAAGAGCATAGGAAAATATCGATACGCCCTGAGAAAAACAAACAAACAGAAACACAGCAATCTCTCTTCGGTTTAGTAATAGTGACCCAAAAATATTTTAAGTTTTTAGAGGTTCTCACAAATTGAAAAAAGGCAAACTTTAACGTTTTGAGAACCAAACCTTAAAGACAAATTAAGGTGTTAAGTTTAGTTACTGTTTTGAACAATCGATTTTATTATATGACGTCTATAAGAAACGTTTTCTTTTTTCTTGTTCGAGATTATTATTAAGTTATGAGTGTTATAGTAAATTTTTTTTGTAATTAAGCACAAAGCTACACAATGGGCTGTCTGTGCTCTGCCCACCACGGGTATCGAAACCCGGTTTCTAGCGATGTAAGTCTGCAGATATACCGCTGTGCCACTGAGGAGGGGGGGGGGCTTATTGGGAAGTATTATTTTTTTTTCTGTTGTATATTATTAATATATTTTTTATTACACGTTTTTTTAAATGACTACTTTGTCGAAGGCCGAAGACTTATCGTTTTCTATGTAATCAAAGAAAGTAAACATTTTATTTCTTTTGTTTGTTTCAAGAGCACATTGTTATCGTACTGATAAGCTTATAAATCCATGAACATGTGACTCTCTATAGCAATCAGTACATAGTTTATTGACTGGCACCAAAAATCTCGATTTCGATAAGCTACTCGTCTTAATACAATCATCAGTTCTTACAGTTCGGGAGGGTTCAAGAACGAAGTATATAATTAATCTTTGAAAGATTAAACTCGAGTTTGATTTCAATCAGAATTTAGAAGTTAATATAAATTCAAAGAAAAAAATATGAATATATTCTTTTGGGACAGTTGAAAGGAGACTTTAAAAGTTGTTAGGATTTACGTTAAAGCGAATTACTACCTGGTCCCCCGATGGGACAGTAGTAAGTTTACGGATTAATAATGCTAAGATCCGGGGTTCGATTTCGTGCGATGGACCCATCAATGTGGCTTTTCTCTAATAAGAACAAACAATATGATACTACCTGTTCCTTCAGTGTAGCCCACCAGTGGCACAGCGGTATGTTTGCGGACTTACAATGCGAGAAACCGGGTTTCGATACCCGGGGTGGGTAGAGCAAAGATAGCCTATT